GCTTACCCCCTCCCTCTCTGCAGGGATGTTGATCTGCCCCCCCACAGTCCTTCCCTTCCCCCTCCCCTTCCAATTTACCAGCTGGAGGCAGCGCTCCAAGCTGCTGGCTCTGCTCCATGCTGCACAGGCATTTATTGGCCAAATTATTGGCCCCATAGGGCTGATATCCAATATAGACAATTTTCTTCGTATTGGTACTGATCCAATAAAAGACTGATGCATTGGTGCACCTCTTCTTCTGGTTATGATGTTAAAGCCTTTATAAAGTTCCTTAGAACTGGAGGCTTTGAGGGAAGAAAAATGAACTAATTGGGAAGTTGGAGGTGGGACAGCCTGAGTACTTGGATTGAAGTTTTATTTCTTGAACTTCTGCTGGGATTCAAATCAGTGTGGGACTGAAACTGCGTGGATGGATATACCATTAGTATTATCAAGATGATTCCATCTTGTTTAGTTTTGAGTTTGTGGGGGCAGGGGGATGAGAACTATCAAAGTGCATTGCATGATTACATCAGTACAATGGTACTACTGAAGTCTATTTGGATAAGCATCCATATTTTTGTTAGGTTCAGAACCACTGGGGGCAAGGGGGATATGGATAATATTGAAACTGCTATGGTAGAATCTAGAAAAGAATCAGAAGACTTCTTGTTGCCAAAAGAGAATGTATTTTTTAGTGAATGAATGGTCACTCACTTGAGTGTGTGTGTGTGTGTACTTGTCAAATAAAAAAATAGCCACTTGTCTCCTTGTATCATCCCTCACTGCTCTGGTCACAAGTGCAGATGCTTGCTTGCTTTTTCATCACTGGAGCCTGTTCCACCTTAAGACAGACTTCACAACAGTCATCTGTGCCTCTTTCTTGTTTGAGACTTGAGTACTGTAATTCAGGTGGAAGTTTCAAGTGATGCTGCACAGATCCAAACTGCTTTGGGGTGCTCTGATTGCTGATACAAATTGAAGAATCTGCACTCCTATTCATAAGTGGCCTATAGCTTGGTTATATGAACTTCCTCTTGTCCTGAAAGTTAAGGCAAACAGGGAAGTATTTATTTCTGCCCCCTGGGGAAAATCTCGTAACCTAAAGCAGTGCTTTCTCAGGTGACAGTTTCTATTGAATTCACCCCTCTAGTCTGTCAGAGCTTGACAGGTCACAGGCCACTCTGTAGCTTGTCACAATACAGTAGTACTCTGGGGGATTCATTCATCTCATCCATGTTTTTGTCATTCCATCACCTAATTACCAGGGTTCCAGGAACTACAGAAACCAGTGAACCTGTTGATGTAAAGTCATTTATAGTTACAGGATTGGAGAAAAATGTAAAATGTGTTTGAAAGGGGATGCTTTAAAGTGCATAGAATAATTGTTAGTGGAAACTGTATGCACGTTTTTTTGCTTTCAGGAGTTTCATAACAAATTTGTAGGGTGCTCTTTCCAGCTTTACTAGTTTAATTTTATGTTATGCTTGAAAGTTACTGCAAAAATAGCCTCTTCAAGGACACAAAAACTCACTGCAGCACACAGACTTCCAAGTATCTTGCAATATAAATATTATTGCTTCCTGGTTTTTTATTTTTGAAGACTTCAACTGCTCATTCTTTACCACATTCTTTTCCATCAGATTCATTCTGAATCGACCTGGGTGCTATAATTTCCAGAGATTTTTTTTTTCTGCTATCATAGTAACTTTTATCTCAAATCTGTTTGTTCTCTGGGCTAATCTATGCCTTTTCTTCAGTTATATGCTACTCCCTAGTATAAAGGCTCTGAAACCTAAAGAAGGTGAGAGGGCCAGCCTGTGTCTTTACCCTTCAGGTTACACAGTGCAATTGTCATGACAAGGAATACAAAAGTTGCAAAATGTTATATGATGAAACCTGTTGCTTATATGGGAGGTGAAAGAGGATGTGAGAATGATACTAGTAAGGAAAGAAAAGCGACAGGGCTGCTCTAACATGCATTATGGAGTGCTTGAAAAGTACAGGAAGAAAACTCGCAATGCTCATAGCTATGACCATTTTGTTGAATTAGTTGTTACATGTACAAGTACTTTGTGAATTCTAAATGTTGTTAAGCACTTGACTGAAATAAAACCAAAACGTCTGAACTTGATAACAAGGAAGAACTGCTGTCCATTTTAATTGTAATACATTTTTTAACCTTGTATGAAGTGAAAGGAAACAATCTTAGTTGCATGCTTAAATACAGTTTGATAATTGGTTTACTTCATAACAAGCTATCTTAATAGTGGTTCATCAGAAAAGGAATACGTTCCTGAGTGCATGCAAAACTTACTAAATTTACTATTTCATGGGCTAAATTTTAAAAATCTATTACTCGAACTTGAGTAATGTGAATTTGGAATAGCCAAAATATTGTGAGTTCAAGTCAAATTTAAAAAATAAACTTTGTCAGAATATATTGCAGTTCAGCGAATGTCACTCACTTTGTTGTGACTACAGGTTTAGTTTCTGATAACTTTTAAAAATAAATTCCCTGCATTCATTGTTTTTAAAGCCCCTTTAATGATTAAGAAAAATGATATTTAAGGATTAAGAAAAACTAGTTGAGATTTGGAAGAAATTATGGTCCGTTGGATATTGAGAACAAAAATAAACCAGAGCTGTCTGAGAATTAACGGCTGTCTATCAAAAACAGATCTTTTAAAATTGGATTCCAAGGGCCCTGTCTTTGTTGCCAACACTAATATGGGTGTCTCCTCTAATAGCAGAAGTACATCAGATTAGGTGGTGCTTTTTAGAAATGTCTGGCAATGAAATAGCCAGTTCATATTTAACTTTCCTGTTTTAGGAAAATGAGAATTAGGGGTGTGTACAGCTCAGTATCTTTTCCTCATGGTGTTCTAAAGAGAACTGAAGTCTTATCTCTTATGCTAGATAGGAAACACCTACATAACATTTTATATGAATTGTGTGGGCTAGGATTGAATTGTATTAATTTTAAAACCCTAACAATTCAAATCCATACATTCTTAAATAGGAATTTCATTAGAACTGCAACCATTTTTGGTCCTGTTGCATGCTACTTAGTTTATATTTATACTGTGGCAATATCCAGAGGCCCAAGCTGGAGTTGGCTTCATAGTACTAGACACGTATGAGAAAATCGCGTTATTTTTAACAAAATGAGTTGGTACTGAAGTTGCCTGTTTTGTATGCTTTGATTTACTGTCTTTTTGAAAATGTGCCCTTTCCCATTGCTGCATAAAAGACCCACACACAGAGACTAATGGTCTTCAGGGAAAATGATGATGCTAGTTATATAAGGAGCCTTCAGAGGAACAAAATGAGCAAACTAAGGTGGAGGGGAATCTCTTGTAATCTGTCATTTAATGTAATCATGCATCTCTTAAACAGTATTTAGTAGGTGTTCAGAAGAGAATGAATTTAACTGTGTCCTGTTTGTAAAAAAACATTAATAATAATAAAAAAATCCCCAAATTCTGTGTTTAATCCAGGATGAAAGTTTTTTTCCCCATTCCCTGCTGCAGCAGTGGGTTGGACAAATTTTTAAGATGACCCTTCCATAATTAGAGTCAATTCATGGAAAATCATTTCATTTCCATTCAGGAAGAGCACACACCAACTGCTGAAACTTCCTTAGCCTGACGAAGGGTTTTTGAACCCGAAAGCTTGCTTAATAACTATTCTCCAACCATTTGGGTTGGTCTAATAAAAGATATCAAATTCACCCAAGGAACCTTGTCTGCCTATGTGCTTAGACCAACACGGCTACAACCTAAACCCCTGGAAAATCATAACACATTTATAATTTTCCACATCACGTCTAATTGAGGGGGTCACTTTAAATTTTGAAGTAATCTTGGATTCAGATAAATGCAGTAGATTTTCCTCACTTTTTCACTTCAGATATGATAGTTTAAGATAATTTAAACAGTAATTTTTAGTTGTACAGGTCCTGTACCTTGATGTCAGAACATGCCAAGTATATTTAGCTAATTTTACCTAAAATAAATCTGTCAGGTAAACCTGACTTGATTCAGAGACAACATCCAGCCTTTTGACACCTAATTATGTTGCAAGTGGTAAACTTGATTATCATCCTTATCTGCAGTTGGCCCCTGACCCCCATTTAAGATAGTCCTCTGAAGAGGTAGAACAACTTGCTGCATCAGAGCCTGAGTTTTGCAGATGTTAACGTAGTCTGTCCCTGCTATTCAAAGGCCTGAGGCCTTTGAACTTGGGTATATGCAATATTTATGTATGGGGAAACTCCGGTCCCTGCCAGCAAGTGGGGTTCACCACCTAGTTTTAACTGTATGACTCTGCAGTATTCAAATATACTTATATGATATTATACTATGATTATATTATTATAGTATAATATATATTTATAGTATATAATATAATATATCTTTCCTTACCTTTTTAAGGTTGCATGATGGAATCCAGATTTTCCCAAGATAAGTTGCACCTTTTGGATCAGTATCGCTGAAGTTGTCTTCTGTTTGCTCAACACTAAATCGAGTCCCTTGACAAGTCTGCTCAAAAAACATATAAAATGGATCTCAAAGAAAGCTGCCCGAGTGTTAGCATTCCTAGCTCTGATGAACACAGAGAGAAGAAAAAGAGGTTTACTGTAAGTATACAAATATTTCTGTAGCCTGGATATCTAAGTTAATAACTTATGATGGTAGGGGTATCTTTTTGCCTTGTACGTTAGCAGGCTTAAATATTTGTGGATCTTTGCTTTTGCTTTATGGAAACTAGTGTTCTGCTCAATAACTGTGCTAAGTACTGGAAATAGGTCTTTGTCCATTTCTCTCCCTTAGCATTTGCTTTAAGGGTTCTTTCACTTTTAATAGAAATAATCCATATTTGCTTTTTTATGTATATTTTTAAAACAAACAAACCTGCAATATTTTCTTATATTTAGTAATCAAAGTATGAGGAAAGATTTTGCACTAGATCTTGGATCCAAACTGTGGTATTGTATTTTTTGTTTGTTTTTTTTAAAATAATAAAATAATTAAGAAGTAGTGAGTTGTACCTGGAAAAATCTTTCCCCTCTGGAGGTCTTTATTCTGTTGTTTTCAGTCTGATTATTCTTTTTTTCCTCCTCTCAACCACCCAGTCTCCCCAACTGGTGCATTTTATACTTGGTGCTAGTGCGTATGGGTTTGTTTTTTGCTTCTTTTTTTTTGTCAATATAGTCAATGGAAATGGATGTCCCTGGAGTGTGGTGGGATCTCGTATCAAAGGTGGTGCCTGGGCTAATTTATAGATATTTGTAAATTGAGGGTTTGGGTTTTTTTTGTTTGTTTTTTTCTTCTTTGCTGGCCTCTGGTAGACCACAGGAGTAGTCTCCATCATAGCTTTATCACTAGTTTTGTGAAAGTCTAGCTGCAACAGTGGCTTGTTTTGTAAGAGTGGAAATGGGAAGCGGAGTGGTTTTGATGGGGGGGGAGGGTGGCTGTCTTTGCTTGTTTCTCTAAGATATGAAGACGTCATCCTAATGTTTTTTTTTTAAATGTGATCCGATTCATTGGTTGTGTACCTTCTGCTTATTTTTTGAGATTGATTTGGTTGGCTTGTTCTGGAGAATAATCTTGTAACTTTTCAACACCTTGCTTTGTTTTCAGACTACAGTTAGCTCTTCCCTATTTACCTTTCCTTCAAAAGGAAAAGAATGTAACTTGATTATATTTGGTGTAAATATAATCAAATATACCATGATGTAACTTTTTGGGATGGAGGATAATGAAAGGAGGAGAAAGGCGGCTTTTGGATTAACATCTTGGGTTGTAGTTTTAATGGATGTGTAATTTTTTTTGTGTTATTAAGTCTCTTTCTCAAAGTTTGAGATTACAAAGAAGGCACTTTGTACTACCTAAATGTTGGTTCTCTGTTGTCAAGGCTAGGGCACTTTTTGCTTGAGACATTTGGCTGTTGCAAGTCAACCAGTAATTGCAGCTGCTGGACTTCCGGTGTAGGCAGGGCAGTGGCAACCAACCACAGTTCTAAAGCCCAGGATATGTAGACCTTCCTAAGGGAGGAAAAAAATGGCAGGGTATAACCTAGAAACCCTGCATTCCCACAAGTGGAGCAGCCCCAGTCCTAGCAATAGTAGGGGAACTTTTTTGGTAGAGGAATAAAGTATAAGCACAATCTAATTGGGGAGAAAGTTCCTGGGTATGGAAGCAAACTCAGTTTCGGCCTGTTTCATTTTATAGCGAGGAGTAATTAGCAGCTTGACAAAATTAAACTTTCACTGAAAACTTGTGAGCTTGTCATATATATTTTAGGATTCACTAACACTATCAGCCAGGAAGTGATGGTCACATTAATAGCAGCGGTAAAAGTTGCTCAACATTGTATCAGTTTATATAGTGTATTTCTTTTCCCCCTATAAATCCATATTGCAAGGTCTCTGGAGACCATTAGTATTGTTCCATGTGCCTGCAAGAGATTACTTCATATTTGGACAAATTGAAGAAAAAAATTGTTTTTGAACAGTCCCCTTGTAGTAAATGTTATTATTGCAAAAGCTGTGGGGAAAGATAACTATTTCCATGGTTGGGTGTGTGTTGCTTCTCTTGTAGTTCTTGGATGGCCAATGATGGGAAGATGACTAATCTGGAGCTGCTACTTCTGTGGAATGGAGAAAACCAGAATACGAGTCTAACAACTTTGCTAACACAGTCAATGGAAATGGATGTCCACAGTGTGTGGTGGGATATTGCATCAAAGGTGGTGCCAGTTGATAATACTGAATCCTGAGCTAATTCACACATTTATCACTTAAGGGTTTTTGGTGTGTTTTGCTGGCCTCTGGTAGACTAGGGGAGTAGTCTCCCTCATAGCTTTAACGCTACTTTTGTGAAAATGTCCAGCTGCAAGCGGCTTATTTTGTAAGAATGGACAGCAAAAACAGAGGAGAATGCCATTTTTAAAACAGCTGCCTCCTTGGTCTGGCCAGTTCTCAGAAGCGTAAACTTCAGCTCAGTTTCTTGGGTGGTCTTCTGCTTTGTCTAAGCAGATGTGCTTCAGCTACAGGAAATTCCAAATAAAGGAAAGTAGTTTATACCTGAGAGATTGCTCTTATACCTGAGAGATATAATTGGTGTGATTATATAAGGCTTATGTCTTCACCTGAGTCTTGGTGTAGGAGGCTTTCAATCTTGGCTTTCCCTTCCTAATTTGGGGCAGAGAAGGGATAGTCTGTCAGTCTCCCTGGATCTCCTGGTTGATACTTGGTCCAAGGATCTTCCAATTTTGAGTTCTCCACGCAGCTCGGAAGGAAAAAGGGAGCAGTCACTGAATTTGGGCACGGCTTCACATTCATAGGATCTTCAGACTACCTTAGTAGCACTGGACCTGGTAGGTTTCTGCTTTCCTTTACCTTTTCCTCTCCTCTTTTGGCCAGGAGGATTGGAGCTGCATATTTCTTCTAGAATCTCTGTTATCTCTACCTTCAGTTTTTTAAAGCAGTGGTAAGCCCGAGTGGGCATCCTCCCTTTCTTTGCGATGGAGTTGGTGGTTTGCCTGGTTTTCTTGGATAGTAACAAATTGTTTTAATGGGGAGTATAGAGGTTCCACTCACACTTCTGTTCATGGTTCTTCAACACTTATGGCAGTGTAAATTTAGAATCAGAGATACTATGTAACTTTCATAGTTTCATAGTTTTAGGGTCGGAAGGGACCTAATAGATCTTCTAGCCCGACCCCCCGCCAGGGCGGGAGAACCACAAACCGCCCTGACTGTGAAGTAGTTTTTTCGGATGTCCAATCTGTACCTCCTCTCCATCAACTTGTGCCCATTATTCCTTGTTATGCCAGCAGGGGCTAGGGGAAACAGCGTCTCCCCCAAACCCTTCTGGTTCCCCCTAGTGAGTTTATAGACGGTCACCAGGTCCCCCCTCAGCCTTCTCTTGTGGAGGCTGAATAGGTTCAAGTCCCGCAGTCTCTCACTGTAGGGTCTGCCCTGTTGTCCCCGGATCATGCGGGTGGCCCTCCTCTGGACCCTCTCCATGTTGTCCACATCCCTCCTGAAATGGGGCGCACAGAACTGGACACAATACTCCAGCTGCGGCCTGACCAGCGTCGCATAGAGGGGGAGGATCACCTCCCTGGCTCTACTCGAGATGCACCTGTGGATGCACGACAAGGTCCGGTTAGCCCTGCCAACCATGACCTCGCATTGTCGGCCCATGTTCATCTTGGAGTCAATAATGACACCAAGATCCCTTTCCGCCTCCGTGCTCTCAAGTAGGGAGTTCCCCATCGTATAAGTGTGCTGCTGGTTCCTACTACCCAAGTGCAGCACCCTGCACTTGTCCGTATTGAAACGCATCCTGTTCCTGTCTGCCCACCCCTGTAACCTATCCAGATCCTTCTGCAATCTCTCTCTCCCTGCTAGCGTGCTCACCTCCCCCCAAATTTTGGTGTCATCAGCGAATTTAAACAGGTTGCTCTCCACCCCAACATCAAGATCGCTGATGAAGACATTGAACAGCGCAGGGCCCAGGACCGAGCCCTGAGGGACTCCACTACCCACCTCCCCCCAAGTCGAATATGATCCATCCACCACCACCCTCTGAGTGCGACCCTTCAGCCAATCTGCAATCCATCTGACCGTGTAGGCGTCTATGCCACAGTCGCCTAGTTTATTAATTAGGATGGGGTGAGAGACGGTGTCAAAGGCCTTGCTGAAGTCCAGAAAGACTACATCCACCGCGACACCTGCGTCCATGGCCTTTGTGACCTGATCATAAAAGGCAATCAGGTTGGTCTGACATGATCTCCCCCTAATAAATCCATGCTGATTGCCCCTGAGCATCATTTCTGATGCCGGCCCATCACAAATGTGCTCCTTGATGATCTTCTCAAAGAGTTTCCCCAGGATTGAGGTAAGACTGACGGGCCTATAATTGCCCGGGTCCTCCCTTTTCCCTTTTTTGAAGATGGGGACCACATTAGCTACCTTCCAATCGTCTGGCACCTGGCCCAAGCACCACGATCGCTCGTAGAGCCGTGCCAGGGGCCCTGCAATAACCCCAGCCAGCTCCCTCAGCACCCTGGGGTGGAGAGCATCCGGACCCGCTGACTTGAACGCGTCCAGCCCCTCCAGAAGCTCTCTAACCCGGTCCTCCCCAACCTGAGGTCTGAAGGCGATCCCCTCGCGTCTGGCTTCTATCACAGCAGGGAAGTCCCGGTCCCTGCACAAGAAAACGGAGGTGAAGAATTGGTTAAAGAGGTCCGCTTTATCCTCTGACGCAACCACCAGATTGCCCCGCATATCCTGCAGGGGCCCCACATTACCCGGCGCCTTCTTCATCCTCCCAATATATTTGAAAAAGGACTTTTTGTTATCCTTAATCCTGGACGCTAATCCGAGCTCTATATCCGCCTTGGCCTTCCTAACAGCCCGCCTGCAGGCCCGAGCAGAGGAGGTATACTCCTCTTTGGAGATTACACCCCCCTTCCACCGGGCGTACGCCGCCTTTTTGGCAAGCAGGCATTCCCGGACACCCTTGGTGAGCCAGGGGGGCTTCCGGACACTCCTGCCCCCTTTGCTTCTTGTCGGGATGGACACCCCTTGGGCCCCGAGTATCGTTTCCTTAAGGAACGACCACTCCT